AAGATATTAAAACATTTTCTAAGCAGCTCATGAAAATGTGGAACGTTTATGCACTCTGCTTTAGACCATTCTGTTCTATGACACTGTTGCTGGAAACACGGAGACAGGTTTCAAAATACACTGGAAAGAACTGCCTGAGCCCTCGGGTGGTTGTTTGCCTGTATTTTGACTCCACTCCACAAAACATGGTGGTGTTTCGTCCAGGTCTGTTTCCAGCTGGGACTCCTACCTTTCTTCTCATGCACAAAAGCTGTTCCTCTTTCTCTTATTACTTCTTGAGCCTTCTACTGCTGCTGCTAAATATGTGCAGGTGATTTTTTCTTTGACAAAAACAGGCAACTGTCGTTAGGGCCTTTCCAGCAAAAAAAAAAAAAAAAAAAAAGCTAGAACCAACCGTTCAAAGCCCCCAGCACCACGCAAGCGTGTGCCCTTCTGGGGCCGCTATTAAAGAGCAAACAGCACTTTGCATCACCACATCAAACTGCAATTGGAATAGCTTTTAATAATGCATGTAACATGCGATTTTAATGCTTATATGCAAAGCCTTGGCGATTTTAGTATATGAAGTGGTATGTTGTTGTTAGTCGCGAAGTCGTGTCCGACCCATCGTGACCCCATGGACAACACTCCTCCAGGTCTTCCTGTCCTCCACCATCCCTGGAGTCCACTCAAGCTCACACCAACCCATCTGGCCACCTCATTCTCTGCCATCCCCTTCTTCTTTTGCCATCTATTCTTCCCAGCATTAGGCTCTTCTCCAGGGAGTCCTTCTTTCTCATCGGGTGGCCAAAGTATTTGAGTTTCATCTTCAGCATCTGGCCTTCTAAAGAGCAGTCAGGGTTGATCTCCTCTAGGACTGACCGGTTTGATCACCTTGCGGCCAAGGGACTTGCAGGAGTCTCCTCCAGCACCACAATCCAAAGGCCTCAATCCTTCAGTGCTTGGCCTTCCTTATGGTCCAGCTTTCACAGCCATACATTGCAACTGGGAAAACCATAGCCTTGACGATACACACTTTTGTTGGCAGGGCGATAGAAGGATCACAAATAAATTGATCCACTGAAAGCCACCCAGGGATGCCAAGGAGTGTGTGAATTGGCTTCAGGGGACAATCTGACACCTGTGTAGATAGGGAAAAGGCCTACGACTCCCAGTAGGTTCAACTGCACCTTCTGTTGCTCTTTCCACGGCTTTGCTCCCTCGGGCACCACTGTGCTGTCTCTCTGCAAAATGTAAGAGCGTAGAAAATTCCCCTGTAGCCAGAACCTTGGTCCAGCTAATGCAGGATTGTCAGCTCTGGCCGGCAGCCACTCTTCAGCTTTCAGGCAGGACCCTTCCCTAGCCCTACTGGAGATGCCAGGCATTGGCCTGGGGACCCGCTGAGTGTGAGGAAGCGTTCTCCCACTAGCCAATGGCTGGAATGAGAAGCACAAGGGCTGAGCATGTCCCTTTTTGACTGCGGGGAACACATGCATGGGGATCTGGCGAGAAGGAACACTTGCAAGCAACTTTGACCTGTGGGTGGCGATGCTGATTGTCCTGGAGAATGTCTTGGGTTTCCTTCAGAGCAGCTGTTCAGAGGCAGGGGGCAAGCAGGATGCCTAGAGGAGCCCAGGCGTGACTCAGATGGAGCGGATGATGCAACCTCATTCCCATTTGCTGAAAACTTAGTGGGGAGCTTGGAGCTGGTGTAGAAGATGGGATGAACAAGCGGCTCAAAGCCCGCACAACCGGCTCCTCAAGTTTAGGAGACATGGCTTAGTTCTTCTTGCAAGGGACCAGCGGCTGTCATCTGGGGCTGGCCAGGTAAACCAATGACCTGTAATAACCCATTTTTGGGGTGAATTTATTACTGAGTTACTCTCCAACAAACAAGCTGATGCTGAGAAGCCACCCTCAATGCTTTGAGAGGGAGGGAGAGAGCACGAGTAAGCAAGAGAGCGCAGACTCGTTCAGGATAAAGAGAAAGAAAAGAGATATAAAAAGGACAGTGATGAATCACCTCAGTGTGTAAAATGTAAAGGACTCGGCTTTTCCATAATATCAGCCATTCTGCATTATTCATGGACATAGGGGTGGGGGTGGGAATGACAAAACTCCGAATGAGGACCCATATTGAAATGAACGTTTATGATGGTAAAACAAGCTGCGGAGTAAAATTTCAGATGCAAAGGACGCGCATCATCTTGACAAACAGATAACAAGGGCTCGTGTGTCACTTGATCATTCTCTTATTGATTTCCTGGCCGCTTTCTCCTGCTGTTTGCTTTGCATCTTTAAGCCATTTCTAGCCGTCCGTCACCCTAAAGATCGGCACAAGATACGCTGTGGTAGCAAGCCACTGGCTTTCGGAGTGATATCCCAGAGTCCACTTCTCCCCTCCTGGAGCTGCAAAGGGTCACAGGCTGTAATAGATGGCCAAACGTTTGACATCAGCACGTCAAAACCGGGTGCAGAATGGAAGGAACCTTCTAGCAGAACTAAGTGCAGGGACAGGTAAGCTGTTTAGCGTGGCTGTTCTCAAAAGCTGCAGTCTAGTGGCTGCTGAGGGCCACCGGATAAAGATCTGGATGTGGATCTGAAGAGAGCTGGGAAGACACTAGTCTACTCTCACTCTTCTCCAGAAATATTTTGTCAATAATGTGATGTGGCTGCAAAAAGGGGAAAAAAGTACTATTCTATGCTGCATTAATAGAAGCATCACTTCCAAATCACAGGAAGTACTAGTTCTCCTCCACTCAGCACTGGTCAGGCCTCAGGTGGAGTCCTGTATCCAGTTCCGGGCACAGCAGTTGAAGAAAGATGCAGACAAGATGGAAAGGGCTCAGGGGAGGGCAACAGGGATGATCTGGGGACTGGAGACAAAGCCCCCAAAGGACAGGCTGAACTGTTGTCTCTTCTTGACCATCCCAGAGTGCAGGACATGGAACAATGGGCTCAAGTTCCAGGAAGCCAGGTTCTGGCTGGATATCAGAAAGAACTTCCTGACTGTCAGAGCAGTATTATTATTATTATTATTATTATTATTATTATTATTATTATTATTATAATAACATTTCTATGCCGCCCCTTGCCGAAGCCTTGGGGCGGCTTACAACACAATAAAATACATTGAAATACAATAGCACATAATAAATTACCATTAAATACAAAAATACAAAAAATACATTGAGTTACAGTAGGAGAGTGGAGCCCAAGACCTGGGGAGCTGGTGGGCTCTCCCATGCTGGAGGCGTTCAAGATGCGGCTGGACAGCCATCCAAGAAGGACAGTTTAACTTGGAGTCCTGCACTGAGCAGGGGATTGGACCTGATGGCCTTCTTGGCTCCTTCCCACTCTGCTATTCTATGATTCTATGTTACAATTAAATTAAATTCCGAAGCATCCCCTGCAGAGTCCAGATTTAATGTGGAAGGATTGGAGTGCCGCTCCTCTCTGACCTGAGTCCCAACCAGGGTTGGCCCCAGCGTGGGGAAGAATGGGGTGCTTTGAAGGGGGGAGCTGCACTCAGGTTTGCCTCCTTGTTGATTTCATTTTCTCTCCTTTACCCTCAGCCCGTTCACACCTTTCACTTGTATGTGGCTCTTGGATTCTGGCTATATAATCAAGGACATGCGAAGAACTAGATCAAAATATAGCAGCTCTCCTGCCAGAGTTGGCTGGGGATTATGGGAGTTGTAATCCAACTCCCGAGGGTGGCAGATTGGGGATATTTAGAATACAGCACACTGGCATGAAACTATGCTACTTACTGGAGGTAGACAGATCTCCTAGATACTGGTTGCTTCAGACTGTAGAACAGCCCTTTGAGGGAGAACATGAATAGAAAGTCGACAGCCGAATTCTTACAGATCTTTGTTTGCCGCAGGAAAAAGCTCATTAAAAATGGACAGGCCAGACCCAAGTATAACAAGCTGACCTGTCTGTCTAAAGCCCTCCTGAAAACAAAACTGCAGCCCACACCAAACATATTCTTGTTATACTGGCTTCTAATGTCACATACACATATAACGAAGCTCCCAGCAGGAAGCCGTACTATGGGAAATGTTTTTCGCCTCCAAATCAGCTGAGGGTGTGGTGTGAATGACAGCTCCACCATCACAATTCTAGGGATAAATTGTTATTTCAAAGCTCAGGCTGATGTCGGGTGTCAAGTGAAAGACTCCATCAACATCCAGAGATGGGTATTTCAGGGTTGCTTTCCACCCTGAAACTCTGAACTGCAAGGGATTCCAGGGTGTTTTCAGCAACCCCTTTGATGCCTTTGGTGGAACGATCTGTGCCTGAGTAGGCGACAGAGTTAGGACTGCACCATTTTGGATGGTGGCAGGCTGTACCACTTCAAATGACAGATTATGGTGCATTTTTGAACATGACCACATGTACAAAAAAGGGGGAAAGGGGGAAAACAGCCTTTGTTATGCTTGTTTTCTATTTGCAGTGAGTTTTCAACATGCAAAAGTGGATAGAAAAGCCTGAAGTAGTATAGTCCGCTTTACCACTTAATTACCACATCATTTTGCTGTTTGGTAGACCAGCTTCATCCGTAGGCCACTGTCGGCCAAGCTTGGCATGACACCAGTCAAATAGTTTGCCCCTGCACAACTGTCTGTTTGAAAAATAGATGGTGTGCTTGTGCAAGGATTCTGCTCAGGATGGTAAGACAGGGCCGCAGTTTAAAGCTCCCCTTCCCCATTTCCTGTTTCAGATCAGCTCACATCTTCCCAGGCTAGGCAAGGTCAAAGGGTGTGAGAAGCAGAACCTCCTGGTCTGGCCCAGGGGCCTTCTCTGCCAGCCAAGATCCAACAATCTTGCAAAGGATGTGAAAGGAATCTGTCTGGAGGTGGGAATCCAATGGGCTCAGCAACCCATTGTGGGCAGTACGGAAATGCAATTAAAGAAATAATAAATGAATGAATGTTTTATCCAGGCACGTTCCTGGCCTAAAGAGCATGGGCTCTGTTGCAGCGAACAAAAGCAACAACCGAACAGGGGCTTACCCTCCGTTGAAGGGATTCTCTCCCGGAATGACGTGCGTGCTGTCCTTGCCAACGAGAAACTTGATCCGGTCGTAGAACGAGTAAAGGTTCTGCTGGGATGCCGGCGGCTGGGTGTCTTGTATGATGTCCAGCGGGTCCGGAGAGCCCAGGCAGAGCACGTTGGCCTGGCACAGGGGCTGGAGGCAGCAGTCAGGGTCCATGCAATCGATTAACCCGTCTGTGGGTGAGGCAGAAAGGGAAAGGGACGTGTTGAACGGGCACTGCAAGGCAGAGCAGTGCAGAGTCAAAGCAGCCTTTGTGCATGCCCTCTGGGTACAAAGGAGGGCTGCCTGCCGGCCTCCTGCTTTCTCTTAGCAACTACACAGCCAAAGTTCCCCTCCTGTTCTTCACGGAATTGTCTTGGCCAGACGGTTCTCTCTCAGCCGGGTCAGCCTCAGAGGGTGGTTGTGAATGGTAATGAGTGAATAGCCCTCAGTTTCATTCAGAAGCAGCTCTCTCTCTCTCCCTCTCTCCCATTCCGCCCCCCCCCGTGTGTGTGTGTGTGTGTGTGTGTGTGTTTTATTACTACCACCACCACCACCACTAGCTCTATACTGCCTAATAGATGGAGCTCTGTGGGCGATTTATAGCAACACATAAAACACGGCACACAATGCAAACAGCAATGAAAACTTCATAAAAATTACAATGCAAAAATGAAAAGCCAAATGTAAAGCAAATATAAACTGTTGCAATAGCTTACACAAATTAAACCTCTCTACAGAAAACTCCAGGGAAAACAACTGAATAGTTACATTAAATAGTCCACTTAATAGTTCGGGAACTGCCTTTTTTGTCCTCGTCATGCGTCCGTTTTAAGTCAAAAGGCAACTGAACCTCCTCCAGCTCTCATGTCCAGATCTGCATCCTGGCCAGCAGCGAGGAGCAGCTGCAGTCTGGAGAAGGAGACTCCCCACTCAGATTTCTAAGAGCTGCGCCCCAAAGAAGCAGCCAGTGGTTTGCCAGGGCCGTCACTGGAGAGCTGAGCCGGCCTCTGTTAACAACGGACACTTGGAACATCTGCTGCAGCTCTTTTGGATTTCTTGGCCTTAGATTAAGACTTCAAGGACCAAAACAAGCCTGCCGGCAGCAGCAGTCCTGTTTCAGGGGAAACCATCACAAGAACATCTGGGATGGCTGCAGGACTAACTTTTCACCTAGTATTTCTTTCTGCCCAGGTGCAACTTCTCAGCACTGCCCTTTTTCTTTCTCCTGATCAGAGTCCTTGCCAATGACATCTTTAAAGCTCTTAAACTCTTTGAATGCAGACCTGGGATGCAGCTCCTGGCTCCGCCTGACTTTTAATAGGTGTTATAGGATTATGCTCCCGTCGATTCAGGGATATTTAGGAGCTGTTTATACCATGGAGGCTCATAACATGGTGGGGGAGGGAAAGAGGAGGAGGACGAGGAGAAGAAAGCAATGCGCAGAGGGGTAGAATTAGGGGGCATTTCTATGCAAGTTTAGACAAGACAAAATTCTACGGCTCCCAGGACGACTCGAACCTTTTTCGTGTACTCAAACCACGTACAGGACTGTGTCCTGAGCATAGCCTATAATCTGCGACAACAATTACACAATGGCTCCAGCTCTCTGTGCATGCACAGCTGTGCAGCGCAGCTTTCTTAGCGCTCCGTTATGAACTGGACTCGGCCCTGTTTCCTTCTGAGCCACAGGGCTTACCAGCAATGAGAAGAAAGCCCCAGGTGGCCCCAGAGGAACGGCGCAGGTGCTGCCTCCAGAAGGCCAAAGGAGGCGGCCACCTGAGAAACCAGATGTTCCAGGTGCGGGATGCGTGGGCAGAGCTCCTCCCGAGACCCCTGGCAGTCTGCCCATGTTGAAGGAGGGGACTCCGTCTCCGCCGCACACACACCTAGCCAGCTCTTCTCAGTGGGACTGGGAGACTCTGCCCTCATTGCCTACCTGAGGTTAAGCATCATAGGCCAGTTCAAACCACCTCAGTAGCAGGAGGACAGTGACTTGTGCTCTGCCCAAGATGCTACAGGGCCACGCACGGGTTGATGTGACAGCCACACCACCACCGGGCCAGCTGACCTACTGGAGAAAGTGTGCCTTAACCAATTCAGGGTCTGCTGGGGTACGTTCTCACCCCAGAAAGGCCAGCAGGTATCTCTGACCCCGGAAGGCTGTTCATTTTGCACATGAATTGCAAGCTGTGGCACGAGGGACCCCTCTTCCGCTGTACAACCAGCTCGCCTGAGTTTTGTTAAGTCGCCGGGAACCTGCTAAGCCAAGCCTTCCCATTCTTGGGCCGGTAACTGCGGCTGAGTGCACTTGCTCTCCCTGTCATCCAGATGTTTCAGTTCTGCTCAAAGATGAACCCAGATCATTCCTTGTGATCCGTTCCCAGCATCACCCGTCTCCATTCATGGCAACTCTGTCTGCCGTGCCTACCCCAAATTTCCAGGGTCAGACCTGGAAAGACAGTTCCCTTTCCCTGAGCCACTTTGATGGCCCTGGATGGGCCGCAGGGCACCTTCTTTGCATGAAGGAGGTCTCTGGCGGGATTCCCACCTGGCATGTCCAGTGAGGTGGCGTTCGCCCTCTTGGCCACCGCATCACACGGCTGACTCATGTTCAGCCTGCAGTCAACCAGCACCCCGAGGTCCCTTTCACAAGTGCTGCTCTCCAGCCACTTGTCCCCTAACCTGTACTCATGACGCCCATTCCTATGCCCCAAGTGCAAAACCTTGCACTTATTCACACTGAACGCCATCCTGTTGTATCACATAGTGTAACCTGTGAGTACTTGCCTTCCACTTTTGATGCCATGTAGGAGTAGCCAATTTTTGAGTCTAATGATGAGGGTCAACCAGGGACTTGGAGTGTTGTTGCCTATGCAGTTCCTACCAAAGGTCTTGAATCTAGCATGACCAACAAAGCCATGTTAAACCCTTCGAAGCATTTTTAGCCAGTTCCTCTCCTCCTCCCCTCTCCACATCTCTCCCTGTGTCTGTTTGTTGCCGGTGTTATCAGGTCTAAAAGGGAAGCTGGTTTTAAGGCTTCGCATTTTAAATTCTATCGTTAAATCCTTCGGCTCTGGGGTCACAGAAGGGCTCACCCTGCATTTGATCTCCCTGTTGTTACCACAAGTACCACTTGTAACAAAACCATCTTTAAATACATTATCTTCTGGCTGTGCCTGGACAACCTGATACCCAGTAGGGCTTAAACAGCTGCAGGCTTTTAAAAATGGTAACCAAAACCATGACACCCGAGGGGAGCCCGTACCCACAGCAATCTTTCTGGTTCCTCGTGACCAACCAAAAGCAGTCCTTCCAGGTTCTGCTTACTCTGAAGTCAGGCAGTTTTAACTGCTTACACTCTTTATCAGTCAGCCCCAAGAAGTGGTATACTGGAACCCCCAAAGCCCATGCTGGCTAGGAAATATAGGAGGTGCAGTAATGTTTTCTATTCTATCGTAATCTGCTTAGAGAGCCCTTGGGCAAATAATGCGGGATCTAAATTTAATAATAAGCAAACAAACAGACCCCAGCACATCCGGGGAATGCCAGGTTAGTGCAAGCGGCTGTGCATCTTTTCCGTTTTTATCTCTGAACACCTTCACTTGTATGGGCTACAGTTTCACCAGGACTCCATCTTTCTTTGGACTTCTGTCTTAAAATCCCACCCTGCCACCTTCACGGCATCTCCTTCGATTCCTTATGGAGCAAACACTCACAATCTCCGTATTTCTTTACTTCGGTTCTGCGCCTACCAGAAATCATATCTCAGCCTCTGTCCTGGGAGCTGGGATGCTAACCAAACCCTAATGCACATGCACAGATTTAAAACCAAGCCTGTCACTTTGGGTGATTTTCTTCCACAGCACAAGTAGCTACTGTGTTTTCCCGAAAATAAGACTGGGTCTTATATTATTTTTTGCTCCAAAAAACACATCAGGGCTTATTTTCAGGTGATGGTCGTATTTTTTTCTTATGAAAGCCATAAGGTTCTTGCCCCAAGAGTCTTCCATGATTCCTTTCTCATACTCAACGGAATAGCTCTTTCTTTTTGCTTCCATCTTGCATCCATGCATTAAGTATGTTACAACACACGACATATTGATGTTATTTGTGGGTTGTGTCTGTACTCCGACTGGTACGATATGGCAATATGTTTGGCAATATGTTTTGAGTTCATCTGTTTACATAGGCATTTACCTCTCGTCCAAAGGTGCCCACTTCAGTATTTACAAATACTTAATTATAATGTATATTATCATTTAAGTATTAATGTCAATAATATTATTTATTTATATGTAATTATATATTAACATCATTTTACAATTTAGTATGTCTACTGTGTGTTGCAACAGACTTACTACCGTGTTTCCCTGTGCTCCTGGGAGACCCTGGCACAAGACCGATCGACTTGGCACACGCTGATCCACCAAGGCTGCCAAACTTCTGAAGCCAGAAGGACAACCATAGCACAAGAGAAGCGAGCACTCCGTAAAGCCAGAGTTGCAAGCGCTGCAACAGTGGTGCCCACACCTCTGCCCGACATGTTCCAGAACACTCCGTGCCTGTCATCGGCCTTATCAGCCACCTGTGGACACACCATGGACAACTCACAACCCGTTAGATGTCAAGATCCTCATCGAAAACGATGGACGAACATCATCATCCGTCTGGCTGACAATCTTAACTGGGGCTTATTTTTGGGGTAGGGCTTATATTACAAGCATCTTGAAAAATCACGCTAGGGCTTATTTTCCGGCGAGGTCTTATTTTCAGGGAAACACTATATCTTCCATGCTGAAGCACACCGATCTGCTCTGTGTGTGCCACACCTCTGGATAAGGCCCTACATGCGTGAGCTCACATCTGCACAAGACGAAGGGCATAGGAAAACAGCCTTGTACCCAAATTCATCTGAACATTCTGTCCAAGGGGACTTCATTTGTGGTGGTCTTCGTGGAGACAAGTAATTAAGGGAGGGGATGCAGGTATGAATGGTGCATTGTAGTCCTACCCTACAAATAATTGTTTAGACAAAGCCCTGAGGTTTAATCCTGACTGTCCTTCACGTTCTGATGTGTGCTTGTTCAGCAGCAATACGGTTAATGAGGCTTACTGCCAAGGTAATGGGCATAGGGTTACACTGCCTTAAATGAACATCACTGTCTGTTATAACTTCTTATACTCTCTGTTTTCAACGCAAAGCACAAATCTGGCACATGAAAAGTTTCTGTCCCAAATTAGTCCAGGGACAAATGTAATCTTGACCAGGCAACACACCAGCTTTGAATAATGTTCTTTGAAGATAACGACGGCAGTTTCCTTTCTGTTTTTGCTCTAGGTTGCCTCTCTGGAAAACCATGCCCTTCACTCCTTCTAAATATGGCCGGTTTTGTTCTCATTCACAAAAGCAGGGATTACAGCCCAAATCCGTATATTCGACACATCTGGTGCGGTGAATGCTATTGCTGCCTTGAGTCTGCTGTAAATAGAAACGAAGACAGTGGGATCTAGTTTCATGGGGGAGAAGAAAGTGGCTTTTGTTTTATGGCTTGTACTTTTTAATACTGGGGGGAGGAGGGCTGCTTCTGCTGGGGCCTCCCTCTTTTCCTAATCTTTTTTCCAAGGGAAGTAATTTGGGCCATTTACCACAACAGATGTGCAAAACTATCCTAGGCATCTGAGCACAAGCAGCCCCTGGTCAAGCTCTTAGGCTAGGCTTTACCTCCAGCAGCACCCTTCTTGAAATAGTGCCGCTCCGTAATAAAACAGCACATCCAATGCGTACATTTTACTGCAGAATTAAAGAGAGGGAGGAGGGGGCTTGCTGCGGTTTACAGAATCAACTAATATATTCTTCTGTTTATCTTGCACCGGGATGTCTCCTAACCTCTAATCTAAACCTGAACCGTCCATTACAAGATCAGCTGTTGTTAAGAGCCAATGGCAACAACTTGCGTGATTTTGCTCGCTATGTCAGAATGGAAAGAGGAAGGAGTTGGACCAAAACATGTGCTTCCAGAGGAGACCTAGCGGACCTTTCCAACTCTTGTCACTCTGGAATCTGCGGACTTCTGCTTGTGCGTGGCCTGGCCCTGCAAAGTGAGCTGAGCCAATTAGTCCTGGAATGTTTGCAGACCCCCAGCTGCACGACTGGCAGCCTTCCCCATCAGGAAAGGGCGCAGGATGCGAAGGAGCGGAGCCACGAGTGGGTGAGCCGGGTGCCATTCCCAGTGGCCAAATCGTCAGCGGCAGCATTGGGTGTGGAAGGATCGCCTCGCCTGAGCAGCATCTGGGGCTTTTATTCCGGGCCAGCGCTTGGCAAACATGGGGCACACTGGCCCAGAACGTGTACTCTGGGCCACTGCCAGGCAGTATGGAGTGTGGGAAGCGGAGACCTGGGAATCCAGTGGATTTCTGAACAAAGCGGATTCCCTGCCCTTCTGTAGCTGCGATGTTTTCCAAAGTGGGCTGAATAGCAGTTGCTTATGTGGAATGTGTGTGTGTGTGTGTGTGTGTGTGTGTGTG